GATGGATGTGTGAACATCAGAGCCTCTTGGCTTTCAGAAATCAGAGTGTCTGAAAAAACCCAAGAGGATGGTCAGATTCATCAGCAGGAGCAATTTGGCAGTTTATAAGGGTGATCCAGTAGCATGACGAAGAGGAAACATCCTGGGCTTTTCCACCAGAGCTGATGACAAGGACCTTGGCTGGTAAACATTACACAGCAGTGACTTCCCCGTTAACCACAAGAACCACCCAAGCCTCTCAAGTGTTTCATTTTTTGTTTCATTTCATCTTTAAGCCACACAAAAATTTGTACAGTGACTTGCTGGAGAGTCTGGGGATGTTCCTCTGGCTGTACAAGGCTGAGAAGGGACTCCTCCTGCCAAAGTCTGGTGACACAGTGGGATCACAGGGGATGGACCTCTCCAACCAGTGTTGGGTGTTCAGCCATGGGTGTTCAGGTCCAATCCCGGCCTTGCTGTCACCCCCAGCACCTCACTTCTCATTGCTGCTTGTGCATAGAGTGCTTTGGGCAAGGTCTTTGTAATGCCTGGCCCAAAAAGGCCCAGAACTCACCATGTGAGTCCATGATACTGTATGGTATGGGAGAAGCTCCATCCATCACTTCTTGCTGTGAATATTTTTCCCAATTAGCTGTACCAGCCCATTTTCATCTCCTCCCTTAAACCACCAGACATTTGTCCCCACCTTGATATACCTCCACTGTGTGCCCAGCAAACCAGGATGAATTTTAAAATGCAAGTAGACAGCACAAAGAAAATGCTGTTTCCATGTGTGGGGGGGTTTTACTAATTCCTCCTAAGCCAATTTTTCACTATTTTGCCTCCAGAAGGCCTTTCAGACCAGGGACATGGGCAGAAGGACCCATTCATCTCATGGGCTGGAAGACAACCTGCAAGACGAGAGTCCACAGATACCTTGGAGAGTCAGGGGAGTGAGTCAGATGCTGTGCATTACCTGAGACTGGGATCATGGCTCTGCACCACTTGCAAATGGTTTTCCTATGTGAAAAACCATGATCTCAAGAGGGTGGAATTTTACCACCTTCCCTTGCAGTACATCAGCAGCTGACATTTTGAAATATTTTACATATGATTTAGCACAATAACTGCATCGTTTGACCCCTCTTTATTGCACTCCTCAGTTACTGCTTGGCAACATCGGGGGAAAAAAGGCCCAACCGTGCTGTAATTTACTTTGTTGCCGTATGTCATTAGAAAATTTAGTACTGATGACTCTGGAGCCGTGGTCCAAAGCAAGAGCACAGTTAACAGGGACAGGCTGATGTCAGACATCCCAGATTTCCAGAGAAATCCTTTTCTGAGGAAGAGAGGAGGGAGACATGTCCTGCCATCCACTGGAAAATCTGGACTTCAGACTGTCTCAACCACCTGATGTCTGAGCCTCTTAAGTGGATGAGATTTCCCTAAGGTGATTTCCAAGGAGGGAAGAGTGGAATCCACAGCTAAGCCGTACAGAGCACGAGGATAGGTGAGGTCCCAGGGCCTCCATTGTTCTGCTGGAAGATGTTAATGGAGCTGGGGAGTACCTGAATTTAGGTGCTGAGGGCATGAAGCAAGAAGGACATCATGTTGCTGTCCAGGAGCAACCTGTCAGCTGACGCATTTTCATTTGGGAAGGACCTGGCTCTGCTCTTGCCCACAGATCCTCCACCCAAGGGCAGGTCGGGGCTGTGGTTCTGTTCAGACCAGGTTTACTCCAGGTCAGAGCTTTGCTTCCTGTGGCTGCAACTTTTCTGAGCCCTAAAGATGGATTTACAGCATTGGCAAACCCCAGGCAAGGGGAAATTCTTCCTTGCTTAACCTCCAATCTCTATTTTAACCTTCAGACTACCTCCCACTCGCCCCAAATCTACCAGTTCCAGAGCTAAGTGAGCTCTGGGTGAATGGGGACACATATGAGCTGGTGCTCAGCAACCTTCTGTCACATTCTTTTTTTTTTCCCTTTCTTTTTGTTGCACTGAATGAGGGCTAAAATTAGCTCAGCAGGAGGTGAAGGCTGGAACATTTTAGCTAAAGCTGTCATAGCACTGAAAAGCCATAGTTTTGCTGATTATTTCTCAGCTTTCTTACTGCGAACAGCATCGCCGGGCCATTTATTTTGACAGATGAATGCAAGCAAAGATCCCATAAAATAAAGTGATCCATGAGGCTTTTCAGGTCATTCTCCGGATGATTTAACATTTGACCTGGAAAAGCATGTCCAGCTGAAGGTCTGGACAGTTCGATGTGTCATAGCCATGGCCAGGGGTAGTCAGGTAAGGGGTGTGGAGGATGTCCCAGACCCTTCACTGCACCCTGCAAAAACATCCCACTGGCACTGCACCCATCTTGGGGGCACCTCCATGGCCAAACTCTGGGCTTAGCTGGATCGTTTTTCCTCTTTGCACTGTCATAGAACAATAGAACAGTTTAAAGATCATCTCATTCCACCCCCCTGCCATGTGCGGGGACACCTTCCACTATGCCAGGTTGCTCCAAGCCTCATCCAACCTGCCCTTGGACACTTCCAGGGATCTGGGGGCAGCCACAGTTTCTCTGGACAACCTGTGCCAGGGCCTCACCACCCTCACAGCCAGGAATTTCTTTCTAATAGTTTGAAGCCATTCCCCCTTGTCCTGTCCCTCCAGGCCCTTTTCCAAAGTCCCTCTCCAGCTCTCCTGCAGCCCCTTCAGGCACTGGAAGGGGTTCTAAGGTTTCCCTGGAGTCTTCTCCAGGCTGACCACTCCCAGCTCTCCCAGCCATGTCACCTCTGTCTCCATGATAGAGCAGTTTCAGCCTCTGAACATTATTGTGACCCTATATATTTTGGAAAGCTGCTGTGAAGAGTTCATTTAGGGGTACAGTATTTTTATCCTCTGCTTTCAGCTTTCGGGATGAGCACTGTCATGTAGTTTCTGTACCTCACAAGAGGAAACCCTGAAAGATAGGAAGGTTAAATTATTTGGTCATATCTCATGGGCTGAGGAGTGAGAACAAGAACCAGATCTCAGTTCAAGGGACAAAGCTACAATTTTGCTTCAGGGCTTTTACCACCAGGATACAGCACATACCACATGGAACCAGGTGAAAACATCTGCAAAACATCTCTGCAATGCAGAGTTCTCCGGTGTGTCCACATGGCTCAATGCTACTTTGGTGCCACACATCAGAGGCAAAACTATCATCTCATCTCTTCTGGCTTAAGATCCACAAGCAGTTTTCAGAAGCACAGTTTGGAGGTGGGAGAAGTACAAGTGAACCAAATATTCCCCATCTTTTGGTTAATCTAAGGCAAAAGCCATCCAGCTGTGGCAGCCCCATCCCTGGAAGTGTCCAAGGCCAGGCTGGACGGGGCTTGGAGAAACCATGTCTAGTGGAAGGTGTCCCTGGCCATGGCAGAGAAGTGGTAGAGATGATCTTTAAAGTCCCTTCCAACCCAAACCATTCTGGGATTTTTCAGACTTCTGTGCTTGTCAGACAGCTGACTGTAACCCCAGAGTGATCACTGATGTGGTGGCTCCTAGGTTTGGAATGATCTAACCCCAGGTCACTACTGCCCACACAGACCTGCTCACACAGATCAATGCTACAAAAACTCACACATAAGGAGTCAACAATTGGCTTTGCAATGAAGTTGTCTGTTTCATCTTTCACCTGCAGAACCTCTGATAGTGTTCCTTGAGCTCCTGACACGTCATCACTGCCAGCTTGGCTGCTGGAGCACGCAGGTGTCATGTGATTATTGGATATTTCAAGTTTGCTGGCCAAAGCCAAATTGTAGTGTAGATGGTGTTGTTTCAAGACTTGTTCTTACAGCTGCCTCTCAGTACACATCAAGCAAGACAGAATGGCTGCATTCATCGTGCCCTCAGCTTTCCATGCTGATTCCCACCTGAAGGACAAGGTGAGAGCCTGGAAACTCCCACACAAACCTTGCACACAATCAAAAGCCATTTTGAAGCTGGTTCATGGGTTCAGTAACATGAATCCAGCTGAAGACCCAGTCCATTCAGAGACAACCAAATGCTGTACCTCAGTAAACCCCTCTGGGATGAGCACCTCTCCACTGAACAGAAGGCACAGCATGGAGCTTTTGTTCACAGAGTCTGATCTGCTGCTACGTCCATCCACCACCCGAAGGACAGCAGAGGCTGAAGTCACACTCCTGGGGTCCAGTCATTTTGGTGGGGTAGAATACAAACCTTTTACTTCTTCACATCCTCCAGTCTCCAGGACTCTGGCAGTTCCACTCAAGACCCCTCTCCCCAAAAGGCAGGAACCAGCTGTAGGGATTTTCTCCCTGGCAGAGCACATGCACAAGGGGGATGTGGGGCAGTGAATGCCTAAAGGAAGGGTGAAGCGGGGCAAAAGGAATAAAAACCTTTACTTCCAGAGGAGTGGGAGATAAAAGGGGTGGGAAATAATTGGGGAAACCCACGAAGGCTTCCTCCTCTTCTCAAATTTTCCTCCTCACCTGGTGGCACAGACACCTGTGTCCCAGCACAGAGCAGAAGCTTGGCCTCCCCAGGTATTTCAGAGACAGGGACAGCGTCTAATGTGAGCTGTGTCCTTAGCACTGGGGTTCTTTCAAGCTGAAATTATGAAAAACAGGAACAATAACCCAGCAGATTTTGGGCAGCCAGTCCCTCCACTCTTGGGGCTGACGGGGTGCACTCAAGCTGGGGAGCCCAAAGTCACGTGCACCAAATCGACCCAAAGGAGCCCAGATCTCAGGATGAACCCACCCCGGTGCCACCCACACCAGAGAAGCCCCACACAGGGCTGGGGTGGGTGCTCCCACCGCTGACCCCACGCAGGACCCCCTTGGAGCAGCATCTCTCCTGCCTGCCTCCCCACCACCACTAAAAAAGCCACTTGGCACAGCCTGGGATCAAGTGTACATTTTTATTTTTTAACAGAACATAAACTCCTTTAGAAAAAAAAAAAACAACATTCAGCTGGATGATAACACCCATAGAAAAAACACCAATCTCGTGTTCTTTTTTTTTTTTTTTTAATTTGGCATTTGTTATTTGCATTTATATTAAAGCAAAGTGCATCTTTCTTATTTTTTCTCGTTTATACACATTGCACAATACATAAATAATGATGCTTATAAAAGTCTTTATATTTACAAGTAATAATATATTTATATATAACATAAAATACATTTTTTTTCTTTAATAAATCTCAGGGTTTTTTAAGGAGTCCTTTTTTTTTTTGTGTGTGTGTGTATTTCGAAAGCACTACAATGCTAAAGATCCAATGAGAATGCTCTCTTGTTCAATTAAACCTTTATATTTAGAAAAATAGCTTATGTTAAGGTCTAAACATGCTCATTGAGCTAAGAACAGTGTAAAAGTATCATACTCGTGTATGAATTCAAGAAGAAATGAAAGCACAACTGCATTTCCAGATAAGGTGGTACCTGGATAACCTGATCTAAGCAGGTTACAACAGACCAACTGTGGTGAACACTTTGTCTTTTTGTTTTCCCCATTTGTTTTTTTTCTTTTGTTTTGTTTTATGGTTGGGTTTTTTTTTTTTAGGCTTAGGCTTCTGTCGCTTCACATCTCAGCTGAAATTACCAAGCACAGGCCATGGGCGAAGCTCCTCCGCTGCTGTTTTCTCCCCTTGCATCAAATCCACGGCCGTAAAACACACGGAAAAAGCAGTGGAAGGATGAACACAGTGACAAGACACGAACCCAGCAACAAGAAAAATACAATAAAAATTCAAAAGGGTCGGTAAAAGACCCGGTTGGGAAAGTTTTGCACCATCCTCCGGCGGCAACGCAGGGTTAGCACCGCTGGGGAAGGGATCTCGGTGTCACCGTCACCAGGGTTGGGAAGGTGGTGCGTAAAAAATACAGGTATCTTGTTGATTTGTCCAAGAGAAGGAGCTGTAACATAGAGCAAGTGGCTTTCAAATCCGTCGATCCCCTTCAAAGGTGTGAAATAATTATCTTATGTGATTCTAGATATCCCCCTTGCACCCTTCTCTCACCCTTCTGAGTCATTGGTCATTCACACTTCTAAAAAATAGATATATTTATCAAAATACCCCCAAGGCGAGAAAAAAAAAAAAATATCTTTCCATAAGCTATTTCTCAAAAACGAAGAGAGGGGTAACAAACAAAAACAAAACAAAACCAAAAAGTTTGCATGAAAAGCAAGCACTCAGAAGGAAATAGTAGCAGCAAAGTAGTATAAATGTCATGAGTCCACACTGTCTCGAGTCATCGGTTATTAAAAATAACCTCCAACCAGCACGGGCAACTGCTGATGAACTGTCTCGTGTAGCACTGGCCCCAGCCTTTCACAAAGCTGATCTGAACGGTAAATCCGGTCCACGGCTGCTGCATGAACTCGTGGTCGTTGGGTCTCTGCAGGCTGTACGCCTTCTCGTAGTCAAAAGCCTTGATGGAAAAACCCGGAAACACTTTGTGAACCAGCAACGTCCTGGAGTCGGGGTTGTCCAGTGTGGCCGACTTGATGAAGATGGGGTAACTGCTGCGGTTGTACACCCACACGCCGTCCACTTCCTTGGTGAGCTGGATGCCGTAGCCGATCTTGCTGCGGACCTTCTGCACCAGTTGGCTTTTGTTGTCTGAGTTGAGCTGTCCGAGGCAGAAACCATTCCCCTGAGGTAGATCATAGAAGATATCCAGGGAGGGCTCTTGGACAGAGTACAGCCGACCCACGCGCGTCTTCTCTTCCCAGTATGCCACCACACACCAGTGTGACCTATCCCCTGGCTCCTGAAGAACTTGAGAATCTACAGAACAACAGAAAATAAAACAAAAAAAAAAAAAGGAGAAATTTAGCACCAGGGGAGTTAATATGAACCAAAAGCGATGCAGAAACGGCAGAACCTTGCCCTGCCCATGTCCTCATGATGCTCTCCACGCACAAACCAACATCCACAACACACCCTCTGTTTCCAAAAGTCATGTTATCAAGAACATTTCCAGGTTTGGGGGACTCCTGTGCTGTTCCAGTGCCTAGCTTTAGCTGGATTTATGGGTCCTAAATCACCAGGTCCATCTCTAAAGGTGGCTTCAGACATACCAGCAGCCCCTGAGGCACAGTCACCCTCACCCACACCAACACCAGGACCATCTTCAGTGCCAAAAGGAGGGGAGATGCTCCAGCTAGCAGCATCCATCAAGACCAAACACACTAAGGCCCCTTATTTTCACCCAACAAATGGTGGATTAATTTCCATAAATAATGATCCACTGTTCACAGGCACAGAAAAAACATGAGATGCTGCTAAGAAAACCACATTGAAGTTCACTCCACGGGACCAGAGGGGATGGGAACTTGCCCAGGGGGCTTTTTCCTACCCATATATAGAGCCTGGGTGATGGAGAGGATGGACATGTCAGACAAAACTCTAACTCATGGGAAGCACCAAGAGATAGATGGAACCAAAAATCTCACACTTATTAACAAAAATGGCTTAAAAAACCTCAAAAAAACCCCTAGAACTAAATTCCCTTAGCCCTTCTTTCAGCTTCCTTCCCAATAGCTACCCTGTGTGTGCAGCAAGGATATGATGTAGGAGTAAAAAGCAAGGGAGGAGGAGGGAAAAAATGTGAGAAAGCCCCTTTTCCTTATGGAGGATCCCTAGCAGGCTGGCACTGCTCAGTGGGTAATTCCTTCCAGCCTCAGTAGGCATGTTAAGACCTGGGAACTATTTATCTCTATAATTGTATTTAAAAAAAAAAAAAATCACAACTAGCTGGGAATGCAAGTTAGTGAGCACTACCAAAATAATCCCCTGCACCATGGGAGATGGGATGGTGGGTGACCCAGCAACCCAAAGCCCTCCCTGCGGCTCCTCAATTCTCCCCCTCCCCATGGCAACACGCTGGCTTCCCTGTTTTCTCAATTTTTTGCTATTAATAACCCGTTTCCTCAGCGCAGGCGTTTTTCTCCCATCTCGGAGTTGTGTTTGAAGCCCTGCACTGTGCTTTTAAGAGAGAAAGAAAGAAAGGAAAGAAAGGAAAGAAAGGAAAGAAAGGAAAGAAAGGAAAGAAAGGAAAGAAAGG